GACATACAACTTTTATATAGACATAACAACTTTATATAAAATAACATAAACTATTAAATATTTTTTAAAGATAAGTTTCTGTTTTAGGTAATTTTTTTTATTTCGTTTTTGTAAATATCATATAATTCATATATTTCTTCCTCGGATTCCTCATCCCTTTTCTGGATTCTGAAGGTAACTACTAATTCCTTGGTCTGACTTCTGAAATAGTTTGTTGCAAATATTATTAAGTGTGGTACCTCTAGATTGTTATAATGTTTAGGCCGGAACAGAATGATTTTTGTATATCAAATATTTTTTCGGGTTGTATGTTAAAAGTATTTTCCGAATTTATTAGTTTTGTTGCCATTCGTTTTTTGTTCTCTATCATGCACTGTATTTAAATCACTGTTATTCTGCAAGATGTTCTGTGACGAAGAAATCACTATATTACTTACTTTCTAAAAATGAGCGAAAAAGCAGCCACTATAGATAATAATTCTCGTCAACAGCAATTTGTATCCAGGACATTTAGCTGTCAATTCCTATGAAATAATATTCGCTGAATCCGAAAATGTCGTCAAAAGTTATTAAAGTAGAACAGTTTTTTAAATATAATCAATTTTACATATAATATGGAATTGACTATATCTCAATAATAGAAATTTACATTTTTATCAACCAGTAATTGGACACTGGTCATTTTACTGTTTGTTTTCAGAAAATCGTTTATTAACAATGCTTCCATTTAAAAAAAATGTTATTTTTAATTTTACCACATTTTAATCCCGACGCATTCGCCATTTTACAAAATCTTGCATTTTTTAAAATTTGTCTGCACAATAAACAAAACGCGATTTTCGACCTTATGAACCAAAACAAAATGCAAATTTTGACATTATAAACCATGATGAGTAATAATACTTTGAAATTGACTTACCTTTAGTTAATAATCATAAACCACAACTAAACAGCTTGGTGCATTCTTCCAACACAAATTAAGTGTATATTTAAGTGTAAAGTTAGATTGATTTGGAACACTACTATCATTACGAAAAAATATATTTTAAGATTGAAAAAGTGTACCTAATGTAATTTAATCAGATATATAAATTTTTAATCTTCGATATTCGACATTTCCTGTAAATCTTGTAAAATGTGGTTTACATAAATAAAAGTCCGTTTTTTGCATTACAAATCTACACCCAGTTGATGTGACAACGTCGCAAGTTGGAGGTGGCTCATTATGAATGTATCGCGTTTACGGGAGGCGGCGCACATACAGGTGAAGTATAAAAGTGTGGCCAAAAGACAAAAAAAAATTCAACCTCAAATATATATATATTTATATATAATTATATATATATGAAGCCAATCTATATTTTTGGTTCACAAGTCGATTGTTAGTGGTTACAATTCGACTATGTTTAATTGACTAAAAACCTTTATTATTCGAAAAAAAAAAATTCTAAATATATTCCAAAACCACCGACCAAGCCCCTAGTGTAAATATTTAACATACACCTGCATCATTTTGGCCAACTTTGTAGGTTAAATTACCCCTATGTGCGATTCTACCTACTACATACTCGAACGTACAACTGTTACGTACGCTGCCTACTAGACCCGTCCCCATTTAAATGGAGCGGCTCCATTGGAGCCGCCGTTAGCCGATTCCAGGTTCGGGAGCCGACCAGTCGATATCAAGCAGGCCTAGAGACCCTCGCCCCCCCCAATGATTGACACTTCTGGGTTTTCCATACATTTTTTAGTTTATGTGTAAATAACCTTTCACATACAATGCATTTTACTGTAGAAGATCGACAATAAATTAAAAAGTGTACCGTGTTTCTTAAACAAAAAGTTCTTTTATCGGGCAACAATGTAACAGCGACTACTTTTGTGCTTCGAGCAATAATTAGCGCAAATTAATAGTTTTTTTTTGTTGACTTTGGCGTCGTCACCCCACAAAACTTTACCCGCTGCTTTATAAGTTAAAAAGTTTACGGTCCGACATAACTTAAAAGTTTTGCAGAATTTTACGGCCAGCCCCAAATGGGGTTTACTACATTCTAAAAATCTGTTAACGACCGGCAGCCTCGAGTTTTATCCAGGATAATTTCTTTTTCATCATATTTTAGAGAAAACAATACCTACAAATATTACTATATAAACTCTTAATTAAATTAGGTTTAACATGAAAGAACTTTTGAATTTTGGATTAAAAAAATGTATTTTGAAGATTACAAAATACTGACTTCAAAGAAGATTCAGCCAGTTGCCATTTACACAGTAAAAAAGTGGTTTAAAGTTTATGTTAAAATTTTTATCCCTAATAAAGTAAAATCCAAGGTTTGCAAAATATATGTTGCTCAATACTTTTCATACAAATGACTGCAAAAGTTTTCACGGGGTTAATAACCTCACAATTCAAAACAAAAAGCAACTGACGACTTGGCACTCTCGTGAATTTACTATTTGAAACGATTTGTAGAAGTTGCGTACCAACCCTTATTTATTATTAGCGCGTTTCATCCCCCAGGCTAATGCATTCATGTCCATCCGAACGTATTAATGGCTACAATGTAGTTGCAGCAGTGCACTATCTACATAGTGCACATTGTGGGTAGGTTTTAAGACCGATTTCCCAGAAAAGTTGCACTTCCAGGTAATTAAAATGTTTGTCGGATTTATACGTTCTCATGAGGTTATACCGACCACATGTTATTTAGTATCTTTAGTTGTAATAAATGATCCTGAAAACTGAAATTTTTTTTAAATATTAAGGTGTCAACTTATTTCAAATATACAAAAAACATACGAAATCCTAACCTCCGTGAAACTATCTTCATATCTTAATATATTCACCCATATTTATATAGTCTATGTATAGTCTAATGTCTATTTTAAAATTTAAAAAGTATAATGGAAACATGTACGATAATGAGCGTTTTAACGGAGAAGTAGAAAAAGAAAATAAGTATACTGAATAAACTGTACTTTTCAATAGGATATAAAATATAAAAAAGAGATACATAAATAAACAGAATAGGGAAATGCCTGATAAAACTCCAATTTGGCAAATTTACCTTTCCTCATTTCGTTATAAAATATTAACAGCCTCAATTCTTGCAGTAAACACTTCAATTTTATATTTACTGCACTAAAGCACTAGAAATAGGTACCTAAACATTTTTTTATATTTTATTAGAAAATCAAAGAATAATTTTAACTGATTAAGATGTTTTAAGACAATAAAGCATTAGTTAAAAAAAATTAAATTACACCCTTCACTTTTTACGTCGATTGATGCTCATGTAACTATTTTTTAAGTGTTCCACAAAATCATAACAAATGTTCAACTGTCAGTAATCAATGATGACAAAGTTTAAAAGTTTGCTTAATATTCCATAATACATTATATATAGCTACAAAATTCAATGAAATCGGACAAATATTTTAAAGAGGATTATTTCATATGCTCTTTCAGTTTTTGACGTTAAATTTGTAATTAAATTTTCATTTCATTTCAAATGAAGATATTCTACACTTGGATGAATTCTAATTTCACATGAAATAGTAATACCCTTTGAATTTAATTTTTTGTGAATTATATTGTTAGCTGAAACGCGTGTAAATTAAAATGTCATTATAAATTTACATTTGGGTGAATATATTTAGATGTCCCCCAAGTGAAAATGATTATTTTTTATTTTTGGTTGTTTCACTGATTTAAAAATACAATTGTACATACATAAAATATTTATAAAAAATCTACTTACTGAGATATTACACTTCACGGTGGATAGGTTTTTAAATAGCAAATTAATGAATTTAAACTTTCGAATTATAAAACAGCAACACTCTCATTTGCATATAAATTCTAACTGACCTTCAGGAATCACATGCATCTATAATTATATAAATTATTTTAACAGTCACGGAGGATAGGTTTTAGACTTTTAAAACATTGTAAAAAATAATTAATTGTGAGATTTACCCATTTACACTTATGATTAAAAAATAAAAATATAGTATATTATATTTTTGTATCTCTAATACAAAACGATCTGTTTAAGGGCCCTAAATAAGACTCAATAGGACTTATAGTCCAGCTATAGATAACGTTTTTGAAATACTTAAGGATCCTTTTACCAAATTGGACCATTATTTATAAAAGAAACTTCAAATAAAAAGGGCCTTGAATCAAGTGTTTCTTCCGTAAGGGTAAACTGATAAAAATGAGACGCATGGGATCTTCAAATGCACCTTTTAAATCAAAGAATAAATTAATTAAAAACACAACAAAGTGTAAAAACCTATTTGTCATAATTTAATTGCTTTAGCTTCTAGAGTTTGCATACAAATCCGCCGTTCTGATTTAAAACTATTGAATTACGAAATTTGTTTTGGCAGGTTTGTGTTTGTTTTAAATAACGAACTAATTGGGCTTTAAATTACACGGTCCCAGCGTGGCGAATTAACGCCAGTTTAAAGTTTGTTTAATATATTTAACAAGTACAGCAGAAATTATTCGCCGAGCTCGATGATATGGATAAGCAAAATTGTCTATTTTGCCCATTTATTACATGTCGGAGTAAACCCCATTCGTATGAATAATTTATTATTACGATAGAAACTTTTTGATAATTGTGATTTGTTTAAATTCATTTATCTCCTAAAATAATAATTTTAGAGGTTCTACTCATATAACCTTTTTTGTAGAGGAGTAAATTTACTACAATAAATGTAATTTACTTTTTTCTCTTAAGTTAACCGTTTTCATGTTAAAAGCAAAATATTCACATGCTGCACGAAAAACTTTTACGACTTTGCTAGAGTTCTTAAAATTAATATTAGGATATCAAAGTTGGACTAAATTTTACTGTACACGTTAAACCATATTCTTGCTCATTTCCCTGCATTTTTCTCCGCACTTATTGGAAAAACCAATAAAAGTTCGTTGGGTTTCATTTGTAGACTGTAATTTTCAGCAATAAAACTAAAAGTACGGTGCTTACCTTCCTGCGTCCACAACACAGCATGTTGCGCGTGCGCGATCTTCCCGATGAGATCTTCGAACGTGCCAATTTTCGCCACTGCATACCAGATTATATCTGGGATGTTGTATTCCTGCAAAAAATAATACACAAATTTACATTAATCGTTCAACACACAATAGAGCAATGGAGTTCATTTAATAAAAATTAACAAAATTTTTTAAATACAAATACAGATTAATATTAAAAAATAAAAAACACAATCGAAATTAAAAGGTTTTTTCACATGGTAACGTCCATACCACGTTGAATACCCTAGTTATAGTCCCACTAGTAAAATCATTCGCGGTTATTTTAACTGTCATTTAGTCAAATTTGGTAAACATTAACAAAATATCCTTTGAAATTAACAAAACGCTTACAAAATTGCATATAACCTTTACAAAACTTTCGGTAAAATATTTTACATTGTCTTTATGCTATTTTATCTATTTTGCAAAAATTCTCTACAATAAATTATTTATACCTTAAATTTATACCTTAAATTGAATTTGGTAGAATTTTACTTTAGATAGTTGGTATCAGTCATTGGTTTGAAACTTAATGTCAAAATCTATTCGCCATGCCGTCCTTAATTTATTTATTTGCAATAATGTTATTGCCAGTAAAGTCTCGTAAATACTAGAAAAATCATAAAAATATTATAACCAATATGCAAAATATTATGCTGTTTAAAGTATAGCCAACCTATAAAATCAAAATATTGGGTGGGTTAAAGTATCTCATTACAGCACCCAAAAGCGGTGTTATAATGAAGTCATAATGAGCGCAAAATAGATAAAATTCATTTAACAAACTACAGACATGACAGATTACAGTTGATTTTAATTTGTTTAAAATTAACAAATATTTTTTTACTGTGTAGGCCTTTTTTTTCGAGGTTAATTCAGATTAATCAAAAAACAATGTTTTACAATTCAAACTAAATAAATAACCCTGAAATTCATTTTCTCTCTAATCCAACTCGCATTTTGCTTTACCTCCAAGTTGTGTGACATAATTGAAACAAATTTTACGTGAGCTGAGTAAAAAGTTTTTTATTACTTTCTGTGTCCTCATACCTGCATGAGATTTTTGTTCATAAAGGGGTTACGTTGTTTTACTTTATTTATTACTTTGAAGTGTACTTTTTAGACAAACAAAAATTAAAAAACATCCTTTGTGTTATGAAATAAGGTTATTTCAGTACCGAAATTGTTTAAGTCAATGAATAACTAAACTTAGTTATGTTAGTAAATAAATATTTATTAAAAATATGTTTTGAATTGTAAATTAAACACCTGTTCTTGTTTTAATTTTCATTTAAATATAAATAGAACCTGTAATACAAATGTAAATGTGAATCAAAAGTTGCATGATAAAGTCCCATTAAAACATGTTGCATTCTTTTTGCATTTATGCAATACCAAACAGTATATAAATATGTGTTCTAAAATAAAATATGTGTTCTAAAATAATATAATTCCAAATTGTCAAAAATGGTGAAAGCTCCGGGATTAATAAATTTTTATCTACTCCTATTGCATAATTTTGGTGTTTTTCCGTGAATATTGTAAAGCATTATAAATTTTCTGCCTAACAACGTGAATAATAAACTCAGTATTCACGTTGTTAGGCATCAGTGATTGGCCGAATAACATTTAAAATTGGTAAAAAGTAAGGTTAACCATTTGACAGATGTCAGATTTTATTTTTTTAATTTTGAAAATCATTTAATTATCTACTTATTGGAGTAGATATACTATTTTATAATTATAAAAAAATATTAATAGCTACCTATATATTTTGTCAAAAATGGTGGAGGCTCCGGTATTAATATATTTTTTAATAATTATAAAAAAATATTAATAGCTAGGTATATATTTTGTTTAATAAAGCCAATATAAATTTCCAGACTCGATTAGTTACAAATCCGCAAAAACTTTATTCAGTGCTTCATACGGGTAAATCCAACAGTATTACCGGAATATATTTCATTAACAGCATTTAGCGGGCTACTGGAAGCTCAAGATTTATATCCATTTTTCCATGTACTGCAAAATGCACTCCAATGCATAACTATGCATTAATACTAAACTCGTAATATGACATAATATAACGAACAAATCCATAAAGCCACAAGTGCGGTAAAATTTAAAATCGCAGTTTACGGAGACATGAACAATTTTACAAAAATCCTTTAACATGAATAAAATGGATTTTTTATCGGTGTTTTGCATTTTTGAATAAATTGTTTGTTGCATTTTGTGTTAAGGATTTTAAACCCACCTAAAATGCACCAATATTGTTTGTTTGTGATGACTAGGGATGGGATTTTAGTTATTTTACCTTTTTTTAACCGATGTAACTATTTGAAAACCAATAATGCCAAAATGTGTTTTAAAAGATTTTCTTTTATATGAACCTAACTTGTTTTCACCTTTTTTACCTTTTTTGGAGGTTTTTGCTTTTAACTACCTTTTTTATACTTTTGTTACCTATTTTTTTAACTTTTTTTCACCTTTTTTACCTTTTTTGGAGGTTTTTGCTTTTAACTACCTTTTTTATACTTTTGTTACCTATTTTTTTAACTTTTTTTCACCTTTTTTACCTTTTTTGGAGGTTTTTGCTTTAAACTACCTTTTTATACTTTTGTTACATATTTTTTAATTTGTCAGTTTATTTTCACATATTTGTTACCTATTTTTACGTATTTTTACTTATTCTATTTTTTTTGTTCTTTTTAAAATTTGCGCCAATATTTTATTCAGGGCGTGCAACTCAACGGTATAGAATTTTTTCTTATGGTTACAGACTGTAACAGTAACTGTAAAGAAAGTTATAACTTTCTTTACAGTTACCTTCTTTGTAGTTACTCACTACTAGTGAGCTTATGTTCTGTCATAGAACTTCTGTGTAGTGAGTGTCACTCAGTAAAACACAGTTTATTGTGGGTATGCGGCTAAACAAAATTATAAACGAAACTTAAACTTTTAATGATTTTTTTTACCTAAAATGCTGTTTTTTTAACCTAAAATGCTTATTTTAGTACCTTTTTAGTTACCTATTTTTCAGTTTTTAGTACCTAAATATCCCATCCCTAGTGATGACCTTATACTACAGCATGGGAGGATAGAAAGAAAACGAAAATTTCACAACCAATATACGTCTTCTTATAAAGAAATAGGTATCCTGAATGAGATTTGTTAAGGATACTGCCTGACGAGGAATCGGTTTCTCTAAAAATGAATTAGTCAAAAATGACTAATTTAATAGTTATTAGTGGCTGCTTTTTTACTTTTACCGAGGTTAACCATGGTATCCCAAAATTTAACAGCAAATTCTTATGTAAAATTGTCCCCTGAATCCGAATGTCGTCAAAAGTTAAAAAAGTACAACAGTTTTTGAAATATAGTCAATTTTTCATTTAATATGGCGTTGACAATATCTCAAAAACTGTTCTACTTTTTTAACTTTTGATATTTTCGGATTTAGGAGACAATTTTACATAAGAATAGGCTGTTAAATTTTGGGATACCATGGTACAAGTAAAAAAGCAGCCACTAATAACTATTAAATTATTAATTTTTGACTAATTTATTTTTAGAGAGTATATAAGAGATGGGAAATTAAAAATTTTGGGCAAAAAACGTGCCATTCCAATGTTCTTCATTTATTTCCAAAACGCCATAATTATATCTAGCGATTAATCAATTAATTGTTATTAACTGTGATTCTATTACAACACAAAAAAGAAGCTCCTTGGTATCGCTATCAAAAACTTTTGACATTGCTCTCCAATAATAATCTCCAAACGGAAAGCCACTTAATGCGTCATTATTAAAGTTGACATTTTTTATTTGTAAAGGACCCTGAAAGTGTAGGACATCAGAATTTGGAACCAAATTTTTAATGGATATAAGTTGGGTGTGGTACCTTTTTTAATGGACATTGCATCTGTGATGTAAATAAATAAAACGGACTTAACTTATTACTAAACAGTGGACATACATTGTTTATTCGCAAAGTTGCATAATGTTCACAAGAATCCAAATTATCTCTTGATTTGCATCTAGAAACTTGATTTTCAAACTAAAAAAATAGCAAGGTAATATTATTTTTCCGGAATATTTGTTGGTAAAGTATTTTTTTCCTTGTCGATATGTTTTTTTATAATACTTTTATTTTACCCTTAACTTGCTCCCAAGTTCTTTACTAATAAAAATCTGAGCGTTTACAGTGGATGTATGGTTTACACTGGTTAAACGTATAGATTTCCAAATTACGGGTATATTATCATATCCATGGCATTTTTCGAATTTATATATTTTCAAAGTTTTCTTCTAAAAAAATCGTTTAATAATTGATCCTAACTTTTTAATTTACTTACCGAATTCCATTTAAATAAATCGCATACCACAATATCCACTAATGACAGTATACAAAAAAATATAAAAATACGTCCAAAAAGCAACATTTTTGGTTTTATAATGAATTCAATTAACAAACGGAAATTTATAAAAAATATACTTTGTTTATCTGATTGAACGATTTTATTTTTATAATGAGGTAAAAGATAAAATCTTGTAATCTACTCCCACTCTATTAATTAGGTTTATTGGCCATTTTCTAACCATACAAATTTTTCATACGATAGTATCGTAACGATACCTACATATACTTAACCAATAAAAATATTCTGTTACTATCAAACCTTGCCTTGGACTTCTGACAGATCTAATATTTTTAAATTTTGACAAGTTACTTTTTAAACCCGATGTAAAAGCAGTTTTTCGCAGTGAAAGTTAAGAGGATGTTTTATGGGTACTCCATTCCAAATTTTAATTGCTTTATTGGCAAATACAAATGTTATTTGGGAATTGGGATTTAAAAAACAAAAATCTTTCATCGTCATTATTATTGCTTTAAAAACATTTTATACAACCTGAATTTCAAATATGAGACAATTATAAATTTCTTTGGTATCCGGATCTAGCATAACTGACTTTGATTTCCAATAATAATCTCCAAAGGCGGTAAATTTACTAAGCATGTTCCCATCAATT